ACTTTGGAGGACAGGAATTTGCTCGATGCCTTGGTAAGTTCCAAACCACTAAACTCTATATTTTTAGCACACTATATAGACACTATTTCCATCAAGCAAGGCAACCAATGATATCAGATTAAGTAGAATTCAGCTAGAATCCTATAACTCTACTCTTTCAACTAGAATGAATGGAACACTATAGTAACTTTCAAATAGGCTAGCTATTACTACTTCAGCTGGCACGCACAGATTCAGCTAACTGGCGCAAGGGATGACTTAATCAGAGATGGAGAAGAAGATTAGAGTCAAGAAGAAAGGTGAAGATGAATAAGGTTTGAAGAAGTTCACGAGAATTTGCATAAGAAGGAAGAAAACTGCAGAAGTTTGATCAAACAATAGAACACTCAAATAGTAGCTTGCCGAAGGATAAAGATGAGTAGTACCATGAGACATTGAAGTATTTTCAGCAACATTAAGTATCCTTGAATGTTTGTGGTACTCGTTAATGGCCACTATTGGCAGCAGGGACCTGATAAATATTAACACACCAGATAACAATACTTTTATAGGATTAAAAATTCATTAATAATGTATATAACTTATAATATCGAGTTACCTGTTCAATTGAGGTGCCATTGATATTTTGAGGCATAGATTCATTGGAACCATATTTGCGCATCAATTGTCGCATTTCGAGTAATTCTGATTGCATCTTCTCCTGATTTTGTTTCATCAGATTCATTTATTCATTGTGTTTTTCCTTTAACTCGGTTATCTCTTGTGTTAACCTTTGGACAGCTTCATTAGACGAATCCTCTCTAACAATATTTTCTAAGGAAGATCTACTACCCCATAGAACAGAAGGAGTTGGACCAAGTCCTAAACCACGAACATATCCACTTTTGTCATTTCCGAACACCTGAGAATACACATCGCCTTCCCAAGAAACAACGCGAGGAGGTTGGTCAGTAGAGCTCTCACTATTGTTCGTCCTTTCATTTATCATTTCCTGGCCATAAAATACATAAATCCAATTTGGAATTCATTTATTCGCTTTTATGTTTTTTCCCAACTATTTCCCAATTAAGAAAATAAAAGAAAAAAAAGAAATCTTACAATTGCCTAGACAGAATCATCATCCAGTGGTCTACCATCCTTACGTTTTGTATTAGTTAATATGAAAACTTGTGCTCGTGTAGGCTCTATCCCATTTACAGCCTAATACAATAAAATTGATGTCAGATATGCGTGAAAAAAAAAGTTAAAACATTATAGTTAGTAATTTGAACAAGTTTACCTGCTCATCCATCAAGGTAGCAATACTTTTGGATCCTCCTGTGTGAGGCATCTTTTGATTGGCCCTATTATTTCTATTTGCTTGGGAACGCCTCTGTCGTTGATATATTAAAATGACATCTTATAAATTATACATAAAAATTGGGGAAAATGCATAAGTACCCCCCTGACCTATACCCGGATTTCCAACTACACACTTTTTCTTTGCGGAATCCTATTACCCCCCTAAACTTATTTTAAACAGAATTATTTGCATCTTTAACGCTGACGTGGCAGAGTGTGTGTATTTCTCTCTCCCAAAGGAGAGTGAGAAGCAAGAAAAAACGATTTTCAGATTATTTTTTTTTTTTTTTTTTTTACCATTTTTTCTTACTTTTTTTTCCTTTTCCTTTTTCTTTGTCTTTTTTCTTTTACTTTTTTTTTCGTTTCTTCTCTAAAATTCCGGCTGATATTCATTCACCGGCGACTTTGTCTAACCGTTTTTCTTCCATTTTTTCTTTTCACACACAAATTAAACCCTCAAAAAGATCTATTCATAAGCAAAGCAAAATACACTCATATTTGGGGGAAAAAATTCATCATCTAAAAACCTTCCCACGCCGGAAAAAAAAGATGTATTGAAATTTTAACTGGAAAAAATTTTCTCAGCTTATATTCGTTTTTATTTCTTTTGCTCTTACTCCCACACATAAATTACACTTTCAAGAAAAATTTATATATATATTAAACAAAACACACTTAGATCGGGATAAAAATCTGTCGCCGAAAAAAAAAATTCGCCGAAAAAAATAGTGTTTGTGAAATTCCGACGACCACCATTTTATGCCGCCGTTGACCAAAACAAAAAGAAAGAGAATTAAATAACCAAAAAAAATGAGAATAATAAGAAATAAGAAAAAAGGACAAGAAAAAGAAGAAAGAATAAAAAAAAGTACTAAAAATACATGTGGGGGCGCGTGTAGCTCACCACTTGCCAAGAGTTTTGTTGTCAGCGTTAATGGTACAAATAATTACATTTAAAAATAAGTTTATGGGGGTAATAGGATTCCCGCAAAGAAAAAGTGTGTAGTTGGAAATTCGGGTATAGGTGAGGGGGGTACTTATGCATTTTCCCTAAAAATTGAGCATAACTAAAATTAAAACACTGAATATAATCAACTTGAGGTGTTAAATATTTGTTAATACCTTAGCTTTATCTGAAAGCCAATAAGCGACAAGACCACTCCATTGATCCCTCCGTATGCTACTTGGTCTATTTTTCAGCAAAAGGTCTTTAGTCTTATATTTCGCAAATACTCACCTTTTAGCTCACACTTGTAATCTTTCCATTTCATTCCTAGTGACTTTAGGACATAAGCTTCTCCTCGTCTTGGGATAGAGAACTTCTTCTAAAAAAAATAAAGCCAATATTTAGAAACAAATATCATGTATAAAAGATTGAGCCCATAATAATAATAATAATAATAATAATAATAATAATAATAATAATAATAATAATAATAATAATAATAATAATAATAATAATAAACAAATAAATAAATAATAAGAATAACTACTACTCCATACCCTCACAAAATCCACCAATTTCTTCTTTTCCTCCTTGTCAAAATTTCTCCAATCATCTACATGTAAAGGTGTTAGTTCTGGAGTTCTCGCAATGATTCCTAGAAAGCTAGCAAGCTTTCGACCTTTTTCCCCAATAGCTTGGTTAAGGTTATTAAATGGCACATCAACTACCTTCCCCGGAGGAAGTTTCCAAATATCTTTTAGTAAAGTAGGCCCACGAACCTTTCTTTGCTCCAAATTACCTAGAATAGAAGATTCAAAGGTCATCAAATGGCAAAAACTTATATGGTTAAATCTAATAAATAACAGTATAATGACAAGGAAAGGTTTAAATGGTAGCTGATGGAGATGCTGGACTAATGCTCCCAATAATCAGATTACTCAAGGTGATGTTTCAAGCCACTATGTGCAGCAACAACAACTTACTACAGCTGGTACTAATGCTGATGGTCGACGAGCAACAACACCTAACAATTCCGGACAGCAGCAGCAGAATGCAATCACAGCAGGAGCTGTAGGTACACTTACAACTGGTGAGCAGCAGCAGCAGGACATAACATCACCAGCTATCACTTTGGAGGACAGGAATTTGCTCGATGCCTTGGTAAGTTCCAAACCACTAAACTCTATAAATACAACTCAAGTTGCTAGCACTAGATGTTTGAATAGAATCAGACAAGAAAACAAGGCTGCTTTGATTCAAAAAAAAGATGGAAATACATGACTATGTTCTTATAGACCTGCATACAGATTCAATGATATTGAAGAATGCAGTGGAAGGAGAATTGCCTATCCCTTGGTCTGTAGCAAGAGAAGTGGAGGAGATCAAGCAACTAATGTCAAGATGCAATGTTAAAATTTCACATACACTCAGAGAAGACACTCTCTTAATTGTTGCAAGTTGCACTATATAACTAGTTCGATATCACAATAGAAATTACAGAAAATCACAGTTGCTAATTACACTATATAAACTAGTTAGATTAACCATTGTATTCACACAATTAAGATTTGAAAATGATTACAGAGAAAAGTGTTACCTGATTCATCATCATTTTGTTGAACTTCAGTACCACCAGCAGAACTATTCAAATCACAAGATTGATCATCATGTGCCTGTTCTTCAGAAGAGTTCTGATTATCCATCAACTGCTCAATATAAGCCTGGGTTGCAGAATGGTTTTGACCATCCATCAAATGCTCAATATAAGGCCGCACATCTTCATCGTCGTTTTGTTCAACTACCAGTCGGTTGCGACCTCTAGTTCGCATAGTTCCTTCTCCAAAATGAAAAAATTATCTAGCTGCATTACACTATATTAGCACTAGATTGACTCCAACAAATCAGCAGGCCACTTGCAAAACATGAGGAAGCATCATCCAGATCTCAATATGTGAAAAATATCAACAACTCAGGTAACACAAACAAAGCCTTGCGACAAATATTGTTCTAGAGATAAGAGTTATTTATGCACTAGGAAAATAATTATCAAGTGATAGTACCACCTTCTAATATCACATTTAAATGGATACAATAAGCAAAATATAAATAGAAGAAAGCACAATGAATTCACTCAAACATCCAATATTCAAATTTTTGCAGCAAAAAAAATAACACCCTTAGAGTTTATCACATAACACTTGCAACAAAAATATTCTATAAGTACCACCTATCTTATTCAGAATCACATTTATTTTCTATGTTATTTTCTCCCTCAACATTAGCTTCACCATCATTTGGAGAAGGTTGAGAATCTACGTTTGTATCAATTATTATCCCATCGTCACCACTTCTTACCCAATCATTATACTCATCTTCTAAAACACAAACATTTTCTAAAAGAGCCAAGTCAGTGGCATCACTTTGCATTGATGACTCAAACTGCACACTATTTTCCTCTCCCATACTAAAAATGTCTCGATGTTTAATTAACCTAGCGACAAACCATTTATGATATTGAGGATCTTGCACAATATTACTTGTTGAGCTCGTTCTGCAAAAATAAAGGGCTCATGACATTCTCGATCGCCAGAGTCTGTCAGGTGTGTGAAATTCACAAGTGTGAAACCCAAGTCATCTTCCTTAATTCCTCTACCTTTGGTTACATCAACCCAATCACACTTAAATCAGATGACCTTAAATTTCTCATAGTAGTTTACTCCACAATATCATTCAATCTGCCATAATATGTGATATTTGCAGATTTTGGAGCATTATCACTTGTACTTGCATAACTTTCAGTCTTTGAAACGACCATAACACCACTATTTTGTGTCACATTGAACTCTTCACTTTGCTTTGTTCGGAATCGATACCCATTATTAACATCGAACGCACTGAATCTTTTTGCAATGTAACTCGGTCCTTGTGCTAGGACTTTAACATCCTTTAAGATGTTAGATGTGGCTTCCAACTCCTTTACCTAACCAAATAAAAGATACAACAATAAATGTGGATATTTGTATAAGGATAATAATTTAACGTAAACAATGACTTAGTCCTACTACTTACTTTCTCCTTGAACCACTCATGAATTGTATCGAAATGCACACGATCATGTTGATGTTATGTCAAACGACGCTTACGATGTGCTCTTTTGATTTCAGCAATATGTTCCATATACATGTAACTCGCATATATCAATTTTGTTATCAAATAAGTATATATATATATATATATATATATATATATATATATATAACACTTACTTTTTATAATTCTCAACCACTTCTGATTCACAATTGAAAAGCACATGCCGATGTGCTTGCAACCATGTTTTGTCATCCAACTCAAAGAGATTCTTCTTTATTAGTCTCATGCTCAATTTCATCACTCCATTTTCTTGAACAATAAGACCTTGAATCTCCACCCTCTAAATATCATGAGCAGAATGCCATACACTCATTTGCTATGTATGCTTCTGCTATTGAACCTTCTGGACATGCACGATTACGAACATATGATTTTAAAGTACCCAAATACCTATGGAACAAAGTAATGTTATTAGTTTGATATTAGAGTATTTAACAACTAAAGACATATAACAAAGATTCAGTGATTTTCTACATACCTCTCAATTGGATACATCCAGCGATAATGTACTGGTCCCGCATGTTTAGCCTCGGTTGCCAAGTGAATAACCAAGTGTATCATAACAGTAAAGAATCCTGGAAGGAAGAGTTTCTCCATAGTAGACAATGTTTCTGGGATTTTTTCTTCAAGTAGGTTTAACTCTTCTAGTTTTAGCTCTTTGCTACACAAAACACGAAAGAATGTGCATAGTTCAATTTTACTCTTTTATCTACTGATCTCCGCAAGGCAAGAGGAAGAAGTTCTTGCATTATAACATGACAATCGTGAGTTTTTAGCCCAGATAACTTTCGTTTGCGAACGCAACGTGAAATATTAGACGCATAGCCATCTGGAAACTTGGCATTTTGTAGTACTTCATAAAATAACTCCTTTTCCTGCTGAGACATTGTGAAAAAAGTAGCAGGAAGATATGCTCTCCCACTAGCTCGATATTGAGGCCATAAGCTTGGTCTTATTTTCATCTCCTTCAAGTCCAATCGAGCATCTAAGTTGTCTTTAGACTTTTTACCAAGATTCAATAGTGTATAAATTAAGTTATCGCACACACTCTTTTCTATGTGCATCACATCAAGATTATGGCGCATCAAGTTAAATTTCAATAAGGAAGATCGAAAAAATACTTCTCTTTTTCCATGTGTTTTTCATCACCCCACTTACCCCTTCACTTGACTGGCCGAGAGTGAATTTTATATCTTTAACTTGATTCAGCACTACTAACCAGATACTGGACAAGGTGCAGGTCTTGTTTCTTTAGTCCCATCAAATGATTTCGCATCATTCCGAAATTTTTGTCCCGACTTCAAGAAGCGTCGATGCCCCATGTAACAAAACTTTCTGCCATGTTTCAGCCTTCTAGATTGAGTGTTTATGTTACAAGAAGGGCATGCAAACCGACCATAAGTGCACCATATAGAGAGAGTACCATATGCAGGAAAGGCATGTATAGTCCACATGAGAGCTGCTCGCATTTGAAATATCTCCTTAGTAGAGGCATCGTATGTTTCTACCCCAACATCCCATAATTCATTTAACTCTTCTATTAGAGGTTGCAAAAATACGTCGATATTATTGCCAGGCGCTTTGGGTTCAGGAATAAGTAAGGACAGAATGAAGAACTCTTGTTTCATGCACATCCATGGAGGAAGATTATATGACATTAAAATCACTGGCCATGTACTATGAACAGTTCGCATTGTGCCAAATGGATTAAACCCATCAGAAGCTAATCCTAGGCGCACATTGCGAGGGTCTCCAGCAAATTCGGGATATTTACTATCAAATTTTTTCCAAGCTTCAGAATCTGCAGGAGGTCGTATAACTCCATCTTTGTTGCGCTCTTCATGATGCCAACGTACTGCTTTAGAAGTTTCCGAAGACATAAACAGTCTTTGTAGCCTTGGTTTTAAAGAAAAATTCCTTAGGACCTTGGCTGGGATTTTTCTAGCATCATTTTTCCATCTAAAAGCTCCAAAAACATTGCATTTATTGACATTCTTATTAGCAAACTCTTTTCTAAAAAGCATGCAATCATTAGGACAAGCATGGATTTCTCATACTTCAAGCCCAAGCCTTCAACTATCTTTTTGGTCTCATAGAAAGAAGGAGGCAATTTTTCTCCTTCAGGCAGCGCATCCTTCAATAGTCCAAGCAAAGCACTAAACGATTCATTTGACCATTTGAACATGCATTTTGTACGGTACAGATGCATCAAAAAGGACATTTTGCTAAATTTCTTACATCCTGGATATAGTTCTTCATTTGCCTCCTTCATGAGCCGTTCAAACATATCCACCTCTGGATGCGGTTGATTTCCAGATGGATGAACAGTATTCTCTTGTAAGTTATGCTCTATGTCACCCCCTTCACTAATGTCAGTATCCATGAACTGTGTAAAGCCTTTAAAGGCATCATGTATCATTCCTGTCATATCATCGCCCCTTAAAGTTGACTGGCTGCGTTTATTTGCTTGAGTATTGTTTGATCCCTTTAGAGACTCACCATGACAAAACCAAGTATCATATGATGGCATAATACCATTAATCACAAGATGATCATATGCTGTAGTCTGGTTTACTTGATGGATAAGCACACACTCCGTACAAGGACATGCAATTTGTTCTCCATCTTGTTTTTCAAAAAAGGCATGGTTTATAAACTCCTATACTCCATCCAAATATTCTTTACTAACTCTATCACAATGCATCCATCTTTTATTTCTAGGATTGTCCATGACGTTCAAGATATTCTTTTTTGTTATATACTTACTGCAAGAGCTAAAAATTCACTAGTAAAAAGAGGAAATTAATTAAAAAATATAGTTCAAATAAAATAACCATCTTATTAGTAGGTAATTCCATAGCTCAAAGGTATTATTTTAAGAATTAAAACTATCAAACAGAAATCCATTAAAACTATCAAATAGTTAAACTATCTCTAATTTCTTCTATGGTTTTCATATATTGGTTCATAAACTTTTTAAGAATAGAATTATTAAACTTATAGATTATACTTCTTCTGTGGTTTTCATATATTTGTTCGTAAGCTTTTTAAGAATAGAATTATTACTTATAATAGGAAGATTTGCATATGTACACCTGGTACAGAACTACAGGACAAGACTTTTGGTGGATCAGTTCAGGGTTCAAAATGGTTTATACTAAACATGTTGGTGGAATTGATGCAATATTATATCAAAATCATTGCAACAGAACAACTGATCATACATGGATAGAATCTGAGGGTGTTTACTCAATGCATCATCATGTTCAAATCCAGATGGAGGAGAGCATGGTGATGAAGATTTTCACTAACACTGTGTTCTTTTTTGCAGGGAAAGATACTGTGTCTATGCCCTAACTTTGAGGAAATTAGATTTGGTGGTATTAGTGCTATGCACTCATTCCACTAGAAGGAAGTTAAAGTTAGGCACAAGCATAGAAGCGAGGATGAGTACGATGCTGCCCAGAATTTATATACTAAACAAGTACTTTTGGCGAGCTAAAACAATAGCAAATGAGGTGTTTGGAGTGGACTACCTAATGCAAGTTAACACCTCAAATGCACAAGAAATGAATCATCTAAGTTTAGGCATCAAACAACAATGGGTCATTTTCATAGATATCTTCAAAATGGACTGGGTCAATTATGTCCACAGATGGTGCAAAGATGAAGCTAGTATTCAGATGAGTAGTGGTGTCTTTTTGTGGATTGGTTTAATGTACAAGGAGACTTCAAAAACACATACAGGGAGCCATGCAAGGTCAGGGCAGAACAGTTTTGGGATATTGGAAATAACAGAAGCAACTGGAGAAGACAAAAGCTCACAACACATAGGAAAATTGCAATGCAGACATTAGAGCATTGTGTTTTGGCGCTAGGCAGTGATAGTTACAGCAGAACACTGTTTGATTCTTATTTTTGCAATATCTACAGAATGCAGATTTTATTGGACAAGAAATATAGACCAAACAAATACTGAGAACTACTTTGGCAAACAAATGGTCACATCTCTTTCTGACTATCCATGTAATAGGCTGGTTTTTATACATGTTTTACACATTAAGTTTCATATGCATATTTTGCAATCAGAAAGATATCTAAGCGGTACTCTATATATTTATATTCTTTATCTAAGCACTTAACAAATTTCAATCTAATATATGAATAGCCGAGGGCCTGTTTTACACCATTTGTAGGTCATTCTTAAAGTAACAAAGAAGTCCATACTTATTAAAGGATCTGGAAATCTTTGTCCGTGCTACATAATACAGAACACGAATCCCATGTAAAAGAACATTAAACTCGGCAACTATATGAGTTTCTTTCCCAAAAATTGGGAAATTTAGATATAAAAGATAAGCAACCGAAACAAACTTCCTAAATCAGGATTTTCTACATCCAAATAAGAACAGCCATATAACATGACTTTTACTAGATTAAATTACACAAAATCTATTGTAAATCAACCGACAAGCATCAATCCAAAATCTACTGTAAATCGATTGCAGGCGACTGATTTAACAGCGAAAAAAGAGAAGTTAACAGGGGAAGAAGATGGACCGGCACTACAACAGGTTGTTGACGCAACAGCGAGTTAGGAACTGATTTACTGTAAATCAATCGACCAGCATCAATACAAAATCTACTGTAAATCGATTGCAAGGAATTGATTTACTGTAAATCTACTGTAAATTGATTGGACGAAGAGAAGTTAACACTGCCATTGACGCACTGTAAATCAATTTGAACTGATCTACTGTAAATCGATTGTAAAATCGAAGAGAAGAGAATTTACCTGGGAAGAAGATGTGCACTGTCGTTGACGCACTGTAAATCGCACTGGCGTTGATGCAGCAGCGAGTTAGGGCTTTCTAGTAGCGAAGTCGATTCAACTGGTAAGGGAAACGATTCAATGTTTTCGTTCTATTATTTTCTAATTGGGGAAGGAAACGAAAAAAGGTATCCAAAAAAATTGGAGGGAAAGATTTTCTCTTCTTTGTGCGAAGGGAAAGTTAAAATAATAAAAGATTAATTTCAATTAGTAATTTTTAGTGGCTATTATTTTTATTGCTGGTAAAAGGATATCTTTTACTGGCTAACGGTCATATGCCGTTAATATTTAAGCTTAAAGAATTTATTAGCGACCATTGCCTTATTGCCGCTAAATAATTGCCGCCAAAGGACATTTTTGTAGTAGTGGTTGTCGCCCTAATTCATGCGGATGGCGTGGACTATAACACACGAAAATCTGAAATCGTCCTAAATTTTTATTTTGTATCCCTAAAGTGCCAAAAATAAGAGAAATTGTCATGGTGAAGCGATGACTATTTTACATTGGGTTGTTATTGAGGGGCCCACAAAATTTTAGAATATTCGGGGTCGGTTGCCCGAATTCATGTAAATGGCGTGGACTGTAGCACACGAAAATCTGAGAATCGTCTTGAATTCCTGTTTTATGGCCCTAAAACGCCACCAAACCAGGAACTGTCATGGCGAAGTGATAACTATTGTTCATTAGGTCATTTTTTATGGGCCAAAAAAATTTTATAAGATTCGGGGACAGTCGTCCGAATTCATGCAGATGGCGTGGACTATAGCACACAAAAATTTAGGAATTATCCTGAATTCCTATTTTATGGCACTAAAACGCCAAAAAACGAGGAACGGTAATTGCGAAGCGATGACTATCGTTTATCGGGTCATTTTTATTGGGCCCACAAAATTTTAGGATATTGGGGATCACTCACCTGAATTCATGCAGATAGCGTGGACTATAGCACACGAAAATCTAGGAATCGTCCTGAATTTCAGTTTTATGGCCCTAATACACCAAAAATAGAGGAACAATCATGGCAAAGCATAACTATTATTTATTAGGTCATTTATTATGGGCCCACAAAATTTTAGAAGATTCGGGACCGGTCGCCTAAATTCATGTAGATGGCGTGGACTATAGCACACGAAAATATGGGAATCCTCCTGAATTCCTATTTTTGCGGCCATAAATTACTAAAAAAGAGGAACGGTCATGGCGAAATGATGACTATTTTTTATTAGGTCATTTTTTATGGAACCGAAATTTTAGGAGATTCGGGACCTGTTGCCCAAATTTATGTAGATGGCGTGGACTATAACACACGAAAATCTGGGAATAGTACTCAATTCCTATTTTGTGGCCCTAAAACGCCAAAAAATAAGAAATTGTCATGGTGAAGCGATGATTATTTCACATTAGGTTGTTATTGATGGGCCCGCAAAATTTTAGGAGATTCGGGACAGGTCGCCTGAATTCATGCAGATGGCGCGGGCTGTAGCACACGAAAATCTTTGAATCATCCTGAATTCCTATTTTATGGCCCTAAAATGCTAGAAAATGAGGAACGGTCATGGTGAAGCGATGAATATTGTTCATTAGGTCATTTTTTATGCGCTCGCAAAATCTTAGGAGATTCTGGGTCGGTCGCTAAACCCAAACCTGCACCTCACGTCCAAACGCTCTCTCCTCTCTCTACTTTCTCTCTCTAGCGTCTTCATGCTCATCTAGGGCAGCTATGGCTGCTGCGAGCTCTCCCCAGCCTGTGGCTGTGGGAGAGGCAATCCAAAACACCATAGAAACACGTCCAAGTCACAATAACAAATAGTCATATGCGTCACAACTTGGAGGAAAATAATCTGCTGCAAAAGTTTCAAAGTTGGAGCTATGTCCTGTAACGTTTGAGCATGGAATATCAACTGTAGAATTCACCCTAGAAGAAGTTAATTGCATTCACCATGGAATAAGGTCTTCATCAAGCAGTTATACTTAAGTTCTCGTATGGAAAACCTGATCTTCAGGAGCTGCGACAGGCGATTCCAAAACAGTTTGATATTAAAGGCTACTGTAAAATTGGACAATTGGAATATCGACATGTACTGGTAAGGTTCGATTTCTTTGAAGATTTTGTTCAAGTTTTATCAAGATCCATAGGCTATGTTAAGTCGAAGGGCAATGAGTTCTTCTTTAGAACTTTTCCATGGACGATTGGATTTAATCCACGAGAAGAGACATCAAAAGCAGTTGTTTGGATTTCCCTACTTGAACTGCCTGCAAACTTCTTTGCAAAGAAGTCATTGATGTCCATAGCTTTAGCTATTGGTAAACCTCTAGCAGTGGATAAAGCGACCCAAGATAGAACGCGACCAAGTACGGCTAGGGTAAAGGTTTTGCTTGACCTACTGGACAAACATCCTAAGAGAGTTAGGATTCATATTGTTGATAATAATTCTGGGAAGCTAGTTGAACATTATCAGGAGATTGTGTATGATAATCTCCCAAAATACTGCACTTGTTGTAAACACCAGGGGCATGATGAAAGATCATGTCGTTGGAGGATCGAGAATAGTAAGGAAGATGTAGATGTTGTGGATGAAAGGGAAGGTTTGGGCAGGTTGGATAAATTGCAAGGTGATGCTAGAGATTTTCTTAATGCAAAGAGCTGGACAACTGGGAATTGAAGCAGCAAAAGAAAGGGTAGATGAGCAGCAAGGTTC